AGGGCAAGATTGAAGATGTGGGAACAAGAAAGGATGTTTTCAGAAGCAAGATCTCTCAGGAGACCTGACTTGTTAGGATCCAGAACTCATGGGAAATGGCGAGCTTTTTTTTCTAGAAAAATATCATTGTCTTCTTAAGCTAAGAAAGAAGATAAAGACGCCATGATAATGCGCTGGGAGGGGTGAGTGCTATCTGAATCCTGTAGACTCACTCTTCTCACTGGAAACAGTTAAAGATAACTTTTTATTACGGATAAATAAAAAATAAAGATAATGATAACTTTTTATTTCCAATAAAGCATAAAAGTTGAGAGAACGTAGAGCAATGACTCTTCATATACTTTTTTTTTTTTTGAGAAAGAGTCTCACTGCTGCTCAGGCTGGAGTGCAGGGGCTGGATCTTGGCTCATGGCAACCTCTGCTCCCCAGGGATCAAGCGACTCTCATACCTCAGCCTCCTGAATAGCTGATATTACCAGTGCACACCACCATGTCTGGCTAGATTTTGTATTTTTTTTTTTTTTAAACGGAGCCTTGCTGTGTCACCCAGGCTGGACAGTAGTGGCATGATCTCAGCTCACTGCTGCACCTCTCGGGTTCAAGAGAGTCTCCTGTCTCAGCCTCCCAGTAGCTGGGACTACAGGCACCTGCCGTCATGCCTGGCTAACTTTTGTATTTTCCGTAGAGACGGGGTTTCACCATGTTAGCCAGGATGGTCTCAAACTCCTGACCTCAGGTGATCCATCTGTGTCAGCTTCCCAAAGTGCTAGGATTAGCACCAGGCCCTAGTTTTTGTATTTTTAGTAAAGATGTGGTTTTGCCATCTTGGTTTTGCCAACACCCAAAGCCACATTTAATGCCTCCCCAGCCATGTGGAACTGTAAGTCCAATTAAATCTCCTTTTCTTCCCAGTCTTGGGTATGTCTTTATCAGCAGTGTGAAAACGGACTAATACATTAAATCGGTACCAGTAGAGTACTGGTGTTGCTGGAAAGATACCTGAAAATGTGGAAGCAACATTGGAACTGGGTAACAGGCAGAGGTTGGAACAGTTTGGAGGGCTCAGAAGAAGAGAGGAAAATGTGGGAAAGTTTGGAGCTTCCTAGAGACTTGTTGAATGGCTTGGCCCAAAATGATGAGAGCATTATAGGTAATAAGGTCCAGGCTGAGGTGGTCTCAGATGGAAATGAGGAACTGGTTGGGAACTGGAGTAAAGATGACTCTTGTTATGTTTTAGCAAAGAGACTGGTGGCATTTGCCCCTGCCCTAGAGATTTGTGGAACTTTGAACTTGAGAAAGATGATTTAGGATATCTCGTGGAAGAAATTTCTAAGCAGCAAAGCATTGAAGAGGTGACTTGGGAACTGTTAAAAGCATTCAGTTTTATAAGGGAAGCAGGGCATAAAAGTTTGAAAAATTTGCAGCCTATGTGATAGAAAAGAAAAATCCATCTTCTGGGCAGACATTCAAACCAGTGTCAGAAATCTGCTTAAGTAGCAAAGAGCCTAATGCTAATCCCGAAGACCATGGCAAAATGTCTCCAGGCCATGTCAGAGACCTTCATGGCAGCCTCTTCCACTACAGGCCCAGGGGCCCAGGAGGACAAAGTGGTTTAGAGGGCCAGGCCCAGGATCCCCATGCTGTATGCAGCCTAGGGACTGGGTGCCTGTGTCCCAGCCACTCCAGCCATGACTGAAAAGGGCCAATATGCAGCGTGGGCTATGACTTCAGAGGCTGGAAGCCCCAAGCCTTGATAGCTTCCACATCATGTTGAGCCTGCGGGTGCACAGAGGTCAAGAATTAAGGTTTGGGAACCTCTGCCTAGATTTCAGAAGATGTATGGAAATGCCTGGATGCCCAGGCAGAAGTTTGCTGCAAGGGCAGGGCCCTCATGGAGAACCTCTGCTAGGACAGAGCGGAAGGGAGATATGGAGTCAGAGCCTCCACACCCGGTCCCTCCTGGGGCACCGCCAAGTGGAGCTGTGAGAAGAGGGCCACTGTCCTCCAGATCCTAGGATAGTAGATCCACCAACAGCTTGCACTGTGCACCTAGAAAAGCTGCAGACACTCAAAGCCGGCCCATGAAAACAACCAGGAAGGAGGCTGTACCCTGCAAAGCAACCAGAGCAGAGCTTCCCAAGACCATGGGAACCCAACTCTTGCATCAGCATGACCTGGATGTGAGACCCGGAGTCAAAGGAGATCATTTTGGAGCTTTAAAATTTGACTGCCTCACTGCATTTCAGACTTGCATAGGCCCTGTAACTCCTTTGTTTTGGCCAATTTCTCCAATATGGATGAGCTGTATTTACCCAATACCTGTACCCTCATTGTATTTAGGGAGTAACTAGCTTGCTTTTGGTTTTACAGGCTAATAGGTAGAAGAGACTTGCCTTGTCTCAGATGAAACTTTGGACTGTGGACTTTTGGGTTAATGCTGAAATGCGTTAAGACTTTGGGGGACTGTTGGGAAGGCATGATTAGTTTTGAAATGTGAGGACACAAGATTTGGAGGGGCTGGGGCAGAGTGATATGGTTTGGCTGTGTCCCAAGACAAATCTCAACTTGAATTGTATCTCCCAGACTTCCCACCTGTTTTGGGAGGGACCCAGGGGAAGTAGCTGAATCATGAGGGCCAGTCTTTTCCATGCTATTCTTGTGATCATAAATAAGTCTTGTGAGATCTGACGGGTTTATCAGGGGTTTCTGCTTTTGCTTCTTTCTCATTTTCTCTTTCTGTTGCCATGTAAGAAGTGCCTTTCACTTCCCACCATGATTCTGAGTCCTCCCAGCCATGGGGAACTTTAAGTTCCGTTAAATCTCTTTTTCTTCCAGTCTCAGGTATGTCTTTATCAGCAGTATGAAAATGGACTGCTTAATACACCCCCATCACCCTGAATTGTCGCATGTTTCCCAAATGGTCTCATGTTTTTGGGGCACTTTTCTGGTCTGAACCATGTACACCTTTCATGTATCGATGTCTTCTATCCACCTAAAATGTATGAAACCAAGCTATATGTAGCCCAACAACCTTAGGCACATGTTCTCAGGATCTCCTGCATGGCCACTCATATTTGGCTCAAAATAAATCTCTTCAAATATTTTATAGAGTTTGACTCGTTTTGTTGATATACCTTACTGGAAATCAATTTCTTTCATTCTAAATTTGGAGATGGTAGATGTTATCCAGTTTTTTCACTCCAAATTATCCAGCTATTCTTCCAAATTATAGGGCTTTTTATTTTAAAACAACACCCAAAGCCAGAAAAACATGCTTGTCACATGTAGTATAAATGATTTGACAATGGCTGGGCATGGATGATTAATATTGCTAAAACAGGTCAAGTTTTAAAATGTGAGTGAGGCTGTTAAGGCACATATTTACCCTTTTAAACATTTCTGATTATAGGGGCCAGGTGTGGTGGCTCATGCCTGCAATCCCAGCACTTTGGGAGGCCGAGGCAGGTGGATCACGAGGTCAAGAGATGGAGACCATCATAATCAACATGGTGAAACCCCGTCTTTACTAAAAATACAAAAATTAGCTGGCCATGATAGTGCATACCTGTAATCCCAGCTACTCAGGCAGCTGAGGCAGGAGAAATGCTTGAACCCAGGAGGCGGAGGTTGCAGTAAGCAGAGATCGCACCATTGCACTCCAGCCTGGGTAACAACAGCAAAACTCCAGTCTACACACACACACACACAAATACAAAAACTAGCTGGGCGTGGTGGTGTGAGCCTGTAGTCCCAGCTACTTACGAAGCTGAGGCAGGAGAATCTCTTGAACCCAGGAGGCGGAGATTGCAGTGAGCTGGGATTGTGCCACTGCACTCCAGCTTGGTAACAGAGCAAGACTCCAGTCTCAAAAAAAATTAAAATTAAAAAAAAAAATCTGATCTTAGTCTCTGCCTTTTTTCTTTCATTTCATTCACCTTAGTTCATATAAATATATATAAAGTTCATTCTAGATTAGATAGCAACAAATAATTGAACTTTGGCACCCTATAAGCACCCATTCATGGATAATGAGACGTGAAAACGTGCTAGTTATAATTACATTTATGTAGAAAGACAATTGTACTGAATAATTGAGCAATTTTGCTTAGATAAGACTAGTTCCTAAAAGCAAAAAAAAAAAAAAAAAAGTACTTCCCAAAAGTATCACATACAATGCCCCCTGCCACTTATTTTAGCACTTAAATGTAGTAGTTATCTTCAGGAAAAATAATTCAGCTGACCTAAAAACTTATCTTACAATGCACAGGATGGCCCCACAACAAACAATTATCCTACTCAAAATGTCAGTAGTATCAAGGTTGAGAAACCTTGGTCTATATGTTGTGAAAGGAAAATAAATCTCGTTTCCCCCAAATCACTAAGCCAAGGGAAAAATCAAGCTGGGAACTATGTCAGGCAAACCTGCCTGCATCTCATTTTATTCCTAAATAAAATAGCTACAAAGATAAAAACCTACATACCTCCCTCACAATTTGCCCACAGGGAATTTCCTTGTGGACGTAGGACAGACAGAACTCAAAGTCTGAGGCTTATCTGAGACAAATACGTATCTGATTGCTTCCTCTGCCCTATCGGTTATATAAAAATGCAGATTCACTGAGTCAGACTAAATTGTGTATATGGTAAAAGGCTGATCAAAGACTCAAGAGAATCGCCCTCTGTACCCCTCCACCCTGCGTGCCTTACTGGACCAAGCCAATGTACATCTTACACATATTGATTGACATCTCCTGTCTCCCTAAAATGAAAAAAAGCAAGCTGTACCCCAACTACCTTAAGCACATGTCATTAGGACCTCCTGAGGCTGTGTCATGGGCATGTCCTTAACCTTGGCAAAATTGACTGTGACCTGTCTCAGATATTTGGGGTTCACAATGTATTATAATGAACTGTAAATATTACATGAATACTTGTCTTTAAATATTTGCAAGCATTTCCAAGATATCAAAATGAATAGTTGAGAAGAACTGAACATTTAAAATGGTGAGCATCATTTTATTTGCAATTATCACAGGCACGAATATGTCTATGTAGCCATCTAGTATACTCCTATCTAATGTGTTGATAGAGCCTGTGATAGGAGGGGTTAGGGCCCTTTCTTAATCCTGTTTCTGTTTTTCTTGTGACCACTTACCTGTGAAAGGAAAACAAATCTTGGGGTCCCAAAATCACTAAGCTAAAGGGAAAAGTCAAGCTAAGAACTGTTTAGGGCAAACCTGCCTCGCATTCCATTCAAGGTCACCCCTTGCTCACTGAGATAAATGCGTATCTCATTGCCTCATTGGGAAAGACTACTCAGAAACTCAAAGGAATGCAATCATTTATCTCTCACCTACATATGACCTAGAAGCCCCCTACCTGCTGAAGTTGTCCCGCCTCTCTGGACTGAACCAATGTATATCTTATATACTGATTGATGCTCATGTCTCCCTAAAATGTATAAAACCACGCTGTGCCCCTGCCACCTTGGGCACATGTCATCAGGGCCACCTGAGGCTGTGTCATGGGTGTGCATCCTTAACTTTGGCAAAATAAACTTTATACGTTAATTGAGACCTGTCTCAGATATTTGGGTTTCACATACTCATCTAGACCTGGTCTACCCTCTGAGGTGTGTTATGCCAGTCCATGAGAAAGTAGTTAAATATTTGTACCAATATTAACATTAAACTATAGAGTACTTAGTACTCCTATGTACCTTTCTTAAGAATTCCATTTTGACAAGTGAAAACTAAGATTTCTTAGAAGCTTTGTTACTAGTAGACAGGAAATATGGCATACCGTGTATTAGAACTGAGTAAGAATCCCAATTCTGGCCCCTCCTTCTGTAATCTTGGGCAAACTACTCTGCTTCAGTTTCCTCATCTGTATAATTGGGAGTGAGGAGAAGCAGTAACTTGCTGAGTGGCTGTGAAGATCAAAAGTAACAAATATGGAGCATCTGGCACGTATTAGGAGCCTAATAAATTGGTACTTCTTTTGCATCGATCAAGAAAAGGTAGGCATTTCAGAAGACACAACACTGCTAGACTGCAACAAGTAGCAGTGAGCTTGGAAAACATCTAGGCACAGATGCCTTTGCTGCTACCATGGTAAAAGGTTTCAGACTTTTCCAGAAAGACACTCCCTTGTTACTCAAAAGCCCAACACTTGTAAAAGCTGGGGTTAACAGCTTTCATCTGGCCACCAAAAGCCACCTCAGCTGACACTTTAATTTTTAAAGTATTGTGACTGCTGCCAGTGTTATTTCTGCAAGTGTCATTCAGACAAACTTTCTCTGACTCCTCTACAAGCAGAAACCTGGACTAAATAGAAAACAGCTTCCTTGTCAGCAGCATCCTCCATGGCCTTGGGTAGGGGCACTGTGGAGTCATGCTTCAAGGCAGGCAGGCCACAGCTGTCAAGGAAAGGTAGGCCAGTGAGTTCCTTATCAGAGGGTTGCCATGGAGGCTCATTTGGTGTGGGCAGCTCTGCCTTGGCACAGCCAAACTGTCATCCTTCAGAGGAGTGTTCTGCCAAGGGGATGGGCACTGGGTAAGCAGGTTGCTCTGTTTGTCTTTGATCTGGTGAAGGAAGGAGAATCAAGAAATTATGCAACATCTGTAATGATCAGAAAGGCTTATATTTATTCATCTCCACAAACTAAGTAAAGAAGAGCTTCTCGGTGTGCCCAGAACATTAATGTGCCCTGTATAGTTACCAAGTGCCAAAATGCCAATTGCCTTCAGCCCTTGCGAAAGCAAAGTAGGACTTCAGTCAGGTGATCGGAGCTCCCTGATCTGGTCACGTCTCAGTGTAGGTGGCAACATCCTTTGCAGTAAAAAGATTCTCATTTTCAAAGTGTACAATGTTATGGAAAAGCTTGGGTAAGACTTCTATAAGGCATTACCTTGATTTACAGAGGAGGAAGTTGAAGCTCGCAGATGAGGAAGCAAACTCAAAGATCACACTTGCAAACAGCGGAATCAGAATTTGATATTAAGTGAGTCTGCCTTCAAAGTCCAAGTTCATTCCACTTTCCTCACATTGCTAAAAACAATATAAAACTATACAAACAATAACACCTGAAATCTGAGTAGACCTTTTCAGTTTAGGAAGTGCTTTAACAGAAGAAAGGAACACATAAGAGGTAATGGAATGAATACTTTTCATATATCTACAATGTACCTTGTGCTGTATATTTACTTTACATTAGAGTCTTATCTTTCTTTTCTTTCCTTTTTTTTTAAAAAGATGGAGTTTTACCATATTGGCCAGGCTGGTCTTGAACTCCTGATCTCATGTGATCCACCCACCTCGGCCTCCCATAGTGCTAGGATTACAGGCGTAAGCCAGGGTCTTATCTTTTTAACAGTTTTGATTTATTTTGCATAAACTTATAGTAGATAAACATATAAATTTATGGTACATTTTTTACAAATTTAATTTGCTCTTTCATAATTTTCTCTCCATGTCCCACTACTTTTTTTTCGATTTATTTATGTTTGTACATTTAGGGGGTACAAGTGCTGCTTTCTTACATGCATATGCTGTACTATGGGCTTCTAGCATACCCATCACCTGAATACTGAACACTGTATTCAACACGTAACTTTTCAAACTTCACCACCTCCCCACTCTTTCACCTTTTATAGTCCCCAGTGTTTATTATTCCACTCTTGTGCCCCATTACTTCTAAAAGCTGTTTCATTTCATTTTTTTTTTTTTTTTGTATTTTTAGTAGAGATGGGGTTTCACCATGTTGACCAGGATGGTCTCGATCTCTTGACCTCGTGATCTACCCGCCTCGGCCTCCCAAAGTGCTGGGATTACAGGCTTGAGCCACCACGCCCGGCCGAAGCTGTTTCATTTCTTAAAGAAACATTTAATGACAGAAACTGCCCTTAATACCATTTCTTTTGACTGCAAATTCTGGACCCTCCCTGCCTCAAGAGCAATGGTATAATTCATTCAAAAGAGAGTATCAAAATCTTTACCGGGCCAAGACTGTAAAAAATAAACTCTTCAATTTGATAATATTTTTAGCTTGTTTTTTAAAATACATTTCTATTTCTCTCTGTATACACTTTGATTTACTTGTTTACAATCTTTGGGTTTCAGAATAATATCTATGTCTTGTGCTGATGGAGGAAGATACAGGGTAAGACCAAAAGGTAGATTGGTTAGGAGTTGAATCACCAGTCACTTAAAGTACAGGCCTGAGAGATTAAAGTAACTTGAAAGTCAGCATAGTTAGAAGACTCTCAAGTGATCATTTCTTTTTAAAGAAAATTGTCTCTAAATGCAATCCTTAAAGTAAATCCAAGGAAATAAAACAGTATCATTTCATAATATAATTCACCAAAATTGATGGTATCCAAAATGAAGGCTCTCTGTCCAGAGATATCTCTCAAGCACACAACAAAGCTATTTTTTCCAGTCCAGGAAAATCCAATGCAACTTTTGTGAGAGATCATGAAGCATTTCCAAGAACAGGGAACTAATCACTGCTTATGCTGTGTTCAGTTAAGGTCAGGGGCACAATCCTGTAGTTGTAGGCATTTGTAATGGGAAATCTGGTAGTTTTTCTGAGTCATAATCCGATTGCAATGGTGATGGCAATAGCTGAAACCTTGAATGTGAGAATTTGTCCTTGAAGATAAATTATTATTGAGGCTACATATAGCACTGTTTTCTTTTTTCATTATGCAAAACAAATAACTAAGAACATGGTGAAACCCTGTCTCTACTAAAAATACAAGAAAAATTGGCCAGGCATGGTGGTGCAGGCTTGTAATCCCAGCTCCTCAGGAAGCTGAGGTAGAAGAATTGCTTGAATCCAGGAGGCAGAGACTGCAGTGAGCTAAGATTGTGCCACACTCCAGCCTGGGTGACAGAGTAAGACTCCATCTAAAAAAAAAAAAAATCTTTTACAGTTGTCTTTTAATATTTAATAACTTGGGTTATATATGTTCCTAAACCTGCTCTAAAGTTAGTACCAATGTTGATCTGGGTTGCAAGGAACTTAGTTTGAAAGTTTGGATAATATGTAAAGTACCACAGTTTTATAACTAAGGCAATTATCTGCCAGTTAGATTAAATTTGTGTGTGTTTATTTGACAAAAACTAGGCACCCACTCTGTAGGGGTCCTGTTTTTGGTGCTGGGGATATTGGGTGACTGAGAAAGGCAACATTTCTGCTGTTATGAAGCTTTCCTTCTAGAAAGAGAAGACAGAAAATAAACCTAATAAATTTGATCATTGTAGGTGCTATTTTGAAATAATAGAGAGCATCTATTGTTATGAAAATGTCAGACTGTCTTCTGGTTAGTTTTGCTAATAATTTACCTACAGGTGCTGTGACTCTGCCGGTCAAAAGAGCTGCCAGCTCTTAGAGAATTTTCCTTTGCTCCAGCTGAAGATAAAAGTTCGACAGTTATAGTAGAAAATTATTTTTCCCCATTTCCCTTGGAGTATAGCACACAGCTTCCTTCTTAAATATGGAATGGGTTAATCAGCATGAAGTGTAATTGAAAGACAGATGCTTCAGTTCCCTTCGAGAGTCCATAGTTTTTGTTATGAATCTGTAGATCCTTGGAAACATAATATTTAACCAATGCCTAAAGTCTGAAGGGTTTATGAGAGATTTATGAGATTTATTCAGTACATCAAAATAGTGTCACAATGTTAAAGAAATTTGACTGATATTTTAAATGGACTTACCATGTTGTTATGTGGTTAAGGTTTTTATTTTTTTCAGAATTTACTTGGGAGAAAAACAATAATGAGTGGTATGCCTTTGATAATATTACACTATAATGTTCTTCAGGAAGACCGTGCTGATACAAGGTTCCAAGCATAGGAAGGTAGAAAACATATAGAATGTAAAACAAGAGGGAAAAAGTACAAGTAGTCATGTTTTTCAGAAATCTGGTACATTTGATGATGTCAAATATGTAAGAAATAAATAATTCATATTAGTATATTACACTCAAATCTGCTTATAAATCCTGGGTTTTTTTTTTCTCCTCATAAGAAAATAGCATAAATTCTGCTTAAAGACAGACTCCTCAATAAGGATTTCTTCTCTTTTATCCATTTTTGGATTTTTTAGATGTAGAAAGGAGGTGCAGAGTCATTACATTTTAACTACGGTAATAAGTTTTGAGGTTTCCACATTTTAGTTGTCAAGTTATGGCTGGTTTATATAGCTTCAGGGCTATTCTGTATTCATATGATTATAAAGTAATTTTACCTCAGAGGCCAATGTAAGTCTGCAAAAATTTACATCAACTTTTAAAGTCTGTTAACAGCTCAATTCAGGTAACATGTTGTTGCATGATTAAAATAAGCTGAGTTTCCTTTAACTGTGCTTAGAAAGAATACTGTTGCAATAATAAACAACAATGGCTATCATGCTTTTTTTTTTTGAGGCTCATAGTTTTAGTAATTGCATTAGTTATTAATTGCATTCCAGAGTTTCAGAGCTTAGAAGGACAGAAAAGCTGTAGTAGAGATTGTGAAACATTACCAGAAATAGAAAAGGAAAAGCAGAAAGAGATGAACAAAGGGAGAGGGGAAGGGAAGGGAAGACCAACAGCCGGGATTAGGGGTTTGAATTCCTTACTTACTAGTTCATTCATTAAGTCATTCATTCCTTCTTTCGAAATATTAATGTGCTGGTGATAAGACTTTGGGCAAATTAGTTAATATCTTAGCCCAAGTTCTGGGGAAATATGAATAGATTTAATAAATATTTATTAAGTGCCTACTAGGTATCAGGTACTGTGGTAGGTGCTGGGACAAAATAATAAGCAAAAGACAGGATATTTCTCATAGAGCTTATAGCCTACTTGGGTGGGAGGAGACCAGTGTTAAATGAAGAGCTACATAAATGAATGCAGTGTTCCCGGACTGAACCGAGGATTGGGCTGCTTATTTTCACTGCCCAATGACAAGATGCGGATGAACTGGGAAAGAAGAGAGTTTACTTCTGTAACTGGGTACAGGGAGAGTATCAGCAGACCAACTCAAAATTACAGAGTTTTGCAGAGTTTATATATACCCTGTAAGCTATATGGCTATGTGCAAGTGTGCATTCATTGAAAGACGTAAGTTATTAACTTCTTCTAACCTATTAACTAAAGTCTGTGTCCTGAAGACCTTCCTGGAACATCCGTAAATTTACTTAATCTACATGGGACTTAATCTACATGGGTCCAGGTGCCAGGGGTGATTAGCCTTGTCTTCTTGCTAAATCATGGCGGTTTGGGGAGTTCCTTCAGACCCCCAATAAAACTTGTTTAAGCCTAAATGGATCCTGTTAAGAATTCCTTCATTACCTTGTCATGTTTCAAGGCCTAGGAAAAGCCTAGGCAAACCTCTCAGTGGACTTTTGTTACCTTCCAGCCTCTGCATAAGGCCACTGGCTCTATCATCTTTTTTTTTTTTTTTTTTTTTTGAGACAGCATCTTGCTCTGTTGCCCAGGCTGGATGCAGTGGCATGATCACAGCCCGCTGCAATCTCAGCTCACTGTAACCTCTGCCTCCAGGGTCAAGTGATTCTCCTGCCTCAGCCGCCTGAGTAGCTGGGATTACAGGCACCCGCCACCATGTCCAGCTAATTTTTGTATTTTTGGTAGAGATAGGATTTCACCATGTTGGCCAGGCTGGTCAAACTCTTGACTTCAAGTGATCCACCTGCCTCAGCTTCCCAAAGTGCTGGGATTACAAGCGTGAGCCACCACATCCAGCCTTCTAACAACTTTTAATTTTTAATTTAACCACTCAGTCAGTACTGAAACAGTTGTCATGGAGGACTGCCTTTTCAGCTATTAGTGACACCTGGCCTGCCACAGCACAGTTTAAAATTGTGACGTTTCATGACAGTAAAAGAGTGTTATGACAAAGAAAAACGGGAAGAAGACATAGTTTAGATGATGGGAGTGTGTTTTTCAGAAAAGTCCTCTCTGAGGAAATGGTGTTTAAAATGATATATTTATAAACTATGTTTGAATACTGAAATACTTGTATATTAATAATTCTAAAATAA